CCCTCCACAGCATGTCTTAATTCCTGACCACTGAGAGGTCATTTTTTAATGTCCAGAGCAATCTATTTCTCCACATAGAAAGAAGAACGTCAAACACTTGCACTGCAGAGTGACCTGAGTCCATTTTAGCAAATTCCCAGAAAGATGGCTTTTGTCTTGGGAAAATTATCAAAAGCYTTCCACCTATTCTGTCTGGCCCACAGCACAAAAAGCAACTAGATATAGAGAAAACAAATTTATGAAGACAAGGAAACTGCAGACTGTGCCTATATATATTTGGGCTGATAGCAAGGTAGAATCAGTTTCCTTTGTGAGACACATTCCTAATCTCATGACCTAGTTCTTCAGTGGGGTTGCATTCCAGAAATCCTTATATTAGACTTCTGCTACTTAGAAGGTCTCAGCAATGTTCTCTTTATTAAAAAAAAAAAAACCCAAACCCCCCCCAAAAAACCCTCTCAAAACAAAACACCATCTGCAGTGTTCTTTTCTCAAAAGAAAACTGTCTTTATACTAGAGAAATTAAAAAGAGGGGATGCACATGTACATTCAGCCTGTAAAGAAAACTTGCAGTTTCAAACACTCTAAATATAAAAAAAAATTAAATTCATTAATATAAACTTCTGCATCATAGCTGTTATCTTCTTTAATCCTCAGAGAATTCTTTGTGCCTCATGTCTTCAGAAAGAATTAAGAAACAGCTCATCTTAGAGCCCATTGTGCATTCCCCTTAGTACCATTTTCTTCTTTTCCTACAATTACTAGGATTTATTTTCTTCGCTTGAAAATAGGATTTTTGTCTCATTTGAGTCCCTGCTATTTAATTCCTACTTGAAGTCATAATCCTCCCTGTCACATCACACCAATCTCTTTGTAGCCAATTCTGATTTCACAAGGCAGGATTTTGACTTTGGAAGAACTGATTATTTAGGTGCACCTCATGTAGCAGGATTTAGTCTTTTTAAAATGTAGAAAGTAGGGAATTTTGCAGCCAGACAATTTCAATGAACTAAACATAAGGTACAAGCTGTGAAAGTTTGAGTTCCTGGCTATCACTTCTCAGTAACATAATTATTAAGAAGTTAATAGAGTGTAACCTTTTCCTTCCAAGATTCTGCTTTGGAGAGACACCACTCYGATACACAGATTGTGCACAAAAATTTTAGGTGAGGTGATTCTTTTTTTCCATCAATGGTGTCAGCAGAGTCTCTGAACCCCAACTGACTTAAAACAGACTAAATGTTATCATGCTACATAGTATCCACATACAGGGCTTGTTTGGGCTTTTTTTCCCATTTTCTGGTGAAATGTGTAAATCCCTGAGAAAACGGTAAGATTGCAACAGGAATCCAGGTGTTTCTTTAATGGAACCCATTCTCATGGGTTCTCTCTATGAATGGAAAGTCCTTTGTTGCAAGACTTCTATTCAGGAAAAACTGCAAAGAAAAAAAAACAACTTAAAGCAGTAACCAATTTTTGTAAAGCTGGGCATGTTAAAAAAGTAAGAACAGTTATTGATTACAAAAAGCATCTATTGCTGACAAGGAAACCTCTTGATTTTCAAGGAAGTCCTGTATTTTTCTCTCACTGCTGAGCTGACAGGATCATAAAGTGTGATTTATTAATTCTATGGGACTGTCTTTCTGCAGCACCAAATAAAACTTCCCATTTCATATGGGAGAAGAATACCCATATCATTGAGAGCTCAATACTATAGTCGCCCAATTGATTTCAATTTAATGGATTAATTTCTAGGATATCATGTACTGAACATTTGAGCTTGAAAAATAAACCAAGGAGACAACAAACCAACAAACAACTTCAGTAAATATAAAGAAACTATCYTTTATTTAATGTGATATTTTATTTCAAGCGACTTGAGAGATGTAATCGGATGTCATCACGAGTTTTGCTATGTTAGGAGTTGCACTCAAACATTTTTAAACCTTTTCTCTCTGTGTGTGCTTTCAAGTATTTCTTGTAGGAACAGCTTAGAGGTTACAATACTGAAAGTGCTCATCTTTTTCATGGGAACTTAGAAGCGAATATATAATGAAGCTGAGCATATTGTTAAAATATAGAAAAGAGTTAACTCTTAAACTTCATAACTGGTTTATATTAGCTTTGGTAYTGCTTTGGCATATACTTCAAATAGCTTATCAGAATGGAAGGTTTGGTCATAAGATGTTCGCATACAAAGGAACCTGTTTTATTCCGTGATTCTTTTCGAAACCTCTTACTACCAAACGGGAACACACGCAAATTAGAAGGAGGAATACCTTCTGGTATCTTCTTGCAAGGTTTATGACGAAGACAGAGAGCATTTTCAGAATCTTGATTGAAAAATATGGACCGTTGCCTCTATTTATCGGTACTATCAGGGCGGCTCGCAGAGCTCGGGAAATTACGTGCCGGTCTAGSCCGGAGATGCAGCGGTCCGGG